TGTCAAACTGTTGCCAAAAAAGCGAAAATAATTCTGGGATGTTTTAGCAGGAGTGTTGTAAGCAAGACACGAGAAGTATTCCTTCCACTCTACGCCACGCTGATTAGGCCTCAACTGGAGTGTTGTGTCCAGTTCTGGGTGCCACATTTCAGGGAAGATGTGGACAAAATGGAGAGAGTCCAGAGAAGAGCAAAAACATTATTAAAGGAATGTTGGAAAATAGGACCTATGAGGGAAGATTGAAAAAATGGGGTTTGTTTACTGTAGAGAAGAGAAAACTGAGAGGAGACATAACATTTTTGAAGTTCATAAAAGGTTGTTATAAGGAGGAGGGAGAAAAATTGTTCTCCTTAAATTCTGAGGATAGGACAAGAAGCAATGGGCTTAGATTGCATCAAGGACGGTTTAGGTTGGACATTAGGAAAAACTTCCTAACTGTCAGGTTTGTTAAGCGCTAGAATAAATTGCCTAAGGAGGTTGTGGAATCTCCATCATTGGAGATTTTTAAGAGTAGGTTAGACAAACACCTGTCAGGGATGATCTAGATAATACTTAGTCCTGCCATGAGTGCAGAGGACTGGACTAGATGACCTCTCAAGGTCCCTTCCAGTCCTATGATTCTATGATATGGGAGGATTCTTCTTTTCTCGGGTTTATCCCTCAGAATCAGACAACCCAAGGGCTGGATTCGACATGGTCTTGCACTTCCTCCTCATTGACACCTTTGTCAAATGGGCCGATTCTCCAGTGACCTGCACCTTTGTCTGGTTACTTTGATTACTTGCACCCATGTAAAATGAAATGCTTCCTACTTGGAGTGCCACATGGGTTTTAGTTTTAACTTAAGGAAACCAGCAAATTTAGGAACCAACTTAAAATCTCCCTCCAGAATAAAGCAGAGTGCCTCTTGTTCCTGAAATGCTGCACAGCTCTGCTTCCCAGCAGACAGGCAGGTGGAGATCTTCTGTTTAAAGGGGAAATGCACAGAAACCCTAGCTACCCCCCACCACACACACTTGTACTTTCTCCCTGCACTGTGGATATGAAGACAGATCTGTCTCATTTAAGTCATGGTGAAATTTACCATTCAATACTTTGGGGGCAGGACCGAGTTCTCGGTTCGATCAAATTATTTTACAATTAAATTCTTGTAGTTTCGAGCATGTTTGTTTTTGTTTTGGAATTGTCTACAAAACATTCCAAGGAGTGGCATTGTTTGCAAATGAACATTTAGATTGGCCTTGTGGGAAGCTCTGGGTTGAGACTCTGCACATCTGTGAGTTTCTTCCTAAAGAAACCGGAAGATGTGGGGTTTTTTTTCCCTTTAAAATTAATAGTCTCTTTATTCATAAAGCCAAACAGAAACCCCTAAAGTCTATTTTCAGAGCATTCTGGCCTGAAATCTAATTCTGTCTCTTCCTTTTTAATTGCTTCCGGATGACTAAATCCTTCAGTATTTGGAGATAGTTCAGAAAAGCTACCCACAATTTGTACAACAGAATGCATAGGCCATGCAGGATTTTGCACAGGTGGATGGGGAGGGCCCTGGACAGGACATTCTCCTATTCATTTCCCCACAAATTGCAAGTCACCTAATGTGCAAATTAGAGCAAACTCTTTTGGGTTTCTGTGGTCTGGAGGGAGTTGGGAATTTCTTTTCCTGTCTAGCACAGCATTACAGCGTACACATTGTATGGTAGATAACAGTATAACATCATACAGCAGTTACATTGTAGTGCATTTATATATGGCCAGGACAGCAGATAATCATTGGTGGATTGATTGTGAGGGACATGGGTACTTTTGCCCTCTGGTTTGGCATAACACACCGGGGCAGGTTTACAGAGGAGACTGAAGGGACTTGTAAAAAGCGACAAAGAGTCCTGTGGCATCTTATAGACTACCAGGCGTATGGGAGCATAAGCTTTCGTGGGTAAATACCCACTTCGCCAGATGCATGTGGTGGAAATTTCCAGAGGCAGGTATAAATATGTAGGCAACAATCAGTCTAGAGATAACAAGGTTGGGGAAGTTACTTGGGTTTTCTTTCTTCCCAACCTATAACTTCCCTCATCCAGATCTTCCTCCAAACTCTTACAGATTCTCTCTCATGCCCTTTCTGGTTTACCTGATTTCTGTCTCCCTGAATCCCTCCTTGCCTTAAAGGATCTCAGGCTGCACCTGGTGGATATGTGCAACATGCTGCCAGCTGCCTCCTAGGTCAACTTTAAACACAGGCAAGTAAGGTGCCCCCAGCACTCAGCACAGGCAGCTGAGCCGGAGGAGATATTGCCAGTGAAAGGGACAAGACAGGGAAAAGGAGCTGCTGGGTAAAGAGCAGGAGGAGATGGAATCCAGCTGGAAACTCTTTTTGACACTAAGCTCCTCTAGATCTGAGACCAGGCGTTCATGGGACTTGAGATGCAGCTCAGGGGCAGTAATCCAGGCTCAGGATGCTGACTCAGACTCAGTTCTCCAGAACATGAGCTCAGGATGGCTCCGATTTTTCACCCTGGTGGGTGAATAGCTCTGCAGCAAAAAGGAAAGGGGGAGGGGGGAAGTATTGTGAATAGCTGCTGTATTTGGAAGGATTTCACAACTCTCTGGTTCCAGTGCCATAGCCATAAAGCTCCAGCTGTGACAGGAGTGAAAGAAACTCTACCAAATGGGGAGGCGTTTGTACTGATGGCCTTTCACCTTGTTGACTGTAATAATCTCCAGCATCATGTGCTTCAGACCTATGGATCCTGAGAATCTGGTCAGTGTAGCCATTCCCAATTCCACTGATCTGGTCTGGAGCATCCTCGCGGTTGACAGATGCCATGTAGATGAGAAGTTAGTGGTTCGTCCCAATTTCTGCTGGTACCAGGCTATAGAATGCAGAGAGCTGGAACTGCCTTTGAAGAACACAAGTCTACTTTCTCTTCAAAACACTTAGGGGAGGATTTTGGAGACAGTCATCGCAATCCAACTGCTAGACTCTGAATAGAAAGGGATATATGGCTAAAGACTTACCAGTAAAAGGAATTTCTGTACGGGATCCTATAAGTGTTCCTGTTCTTTTAATTTAACGTCAAAACTGATCCCAGGTGCAAATCCCTTGAAATCACTGCAGTTATATCAGTGAGGCATTTGGTTCCAGGGTTCTAAGGATGACAGTGGAACATTAAACTCTCTAAGCCTTATTGGGTTTGTATTTCCAGCAAATTGGGTGCTCAGTCCATGCTTTAGCCATAAAAGCAAAAAAAGGATGTTTTGAAATTTTCCTGCAGATAATTATATCCTAATTTAGTTGATCTTTCTAGACAGGTGGAGGGGGATGGCAGTGCAGTTAAGGTGATTGAAGGTTTATCATACTTTCCAAGAATAACAGTCTGGCAACAACAGTGGAAGATTGAATATATTGAAGCTGCACAGTCTGGTTTCATTCCACGTGAAATTTATTTCACATCCACATGGAGAGAAAGGAAAAGGCATCCCACAGACCCAAACAAAAAGGATAAGGTTTGTGGCAGTCAAAAGGGCAGGCTTCCCTCAGATCAAAATTCATACAGACAAGGACGGGGTTTCCTCTAGCCGGAATTACAGCAGTAGATGCAATTAGGAAGAATAGAGACAAAGGTGAGCATACAAAAAAATCAACATTTTCCTGTAGACTTTCATTGTGGTATCTGAGACACACAGTATTTCCTTTTGTGGAGAATGAGATACCTGTGGCACCTCCAAACATGGAGGTGCGGGATCTGTTTGCACATATTGACACTTCAGTGGTGACCACTGTGTCTGGTTATCGACCCCAGCCTTTAAATTCATTTTTGCTTCTGCTGTTTGTATTACCAAGGAATCACACAATCACTGCCTTTGGGTTTGATAGCGTCTCTCACTGGACATCTGCTGACCAACTACACTCATAATATATGTATAATATAAAGGACAGGGAGTGTTCCTGGGTTATTAGCAGCTCTTATGTCACAGGGACAGCCTTCTTCTGTAATCTCAGCATTTTATGCAATAGCATCCTGCTGTGTGAAGCAGATTTCAACCCCTTCCTTATAACAGGCTTGACCCAGAGCAGTAGAAGAATTCTTGTTGACCTCAATGGCCATTGGATCAGATCCTATCTACAATGTAGAGACCCTTCACCCTGTCGCGGCGGGACACTGTGTAACATAGCGATTATGTCCAAACTGTTGTTATCTCTAGGAAGCATCTGTTACAGGAGAGAAACTGAAACCACACAGGGCAGGGAGGTTTTTGTATGAGTCTGTATCACTGTGAGAGGGGAGCTATAACCCTGCTGACAATAGTAATCTCCTGCATCTTCAATTTCAGCACTGCTGATGGTGAGAGTGTAATCAGTGTAGCCGCTCCCAGACTGACTGCCACTAAACCGGGCTGGGACTCCAGAGGCGAGGGTAGAGCCATGATAAATAAGAAGCTTAGGAGCTTGTCCCGATTTCTGTTGGTACCAGGTTAAATGGTTGCCTGTGCTGGAACTGGCTTTGCAGTTGATGGTGACTCTGTCTCCTGGAGACACTGCCAGGGATTCTGGAGTCTGAGTCATCACAATCTGCCCACTGGAGCCTGAACATAAAATATAATATAAATTAACACAATGAGTAAGTCAGTAAATCACTTGTTACATTTGCATCATATTTTAAACTTTTTATCCTAAATTTGCGATTGAGCAGTATATTGTGTGTGTGTGTGTGTGTATATATATATATATATATGAATGACGTGGGAGATGTCGTAGGGTCTTGATCTCTCCAACAAAGTCAGTGTTATCTCCGTTTGATCCTTACCCTGGATCCAGAGCACTAACAGCCAGATGAGCTGAGCCTGGGAGATCATCTTGATATGTCTGGATCGACTGGAGCTGATCAATAAACCAATAGAAACTGTAAAAAGGGACTCCATATATAACTGCTCAGAGCAGCAGGGAAATGAATTAGATGTAAATATGCAAAGCATCTCGCCTCAGGCCCCGTGTGTCAGGCTCAGAGCCTAGAAATGGAGATCTGATTGGTTTGCATCATTTCAGAAGTTCTATCATTTTTATTGCTGTCACTTATTACAAAGCACTGATCCTAATCAGAATTTTAGCATCTGCAGTGTGTTCAGGTGATACGCGTCAGTGCTGCCACCTGTTGTCACTGGGGGAGGTTCAGCTCCGTTAGTTTGAGTGTGCTGTGCAGAGTATTGAATGCAATGCAATGCAATGCAATACAATACAATGTATACAGAGATTTAAGAACACGTTTGAATATAAATACGGACATCTGATATACAGCCAGGGCTGGGTTGTGCATCCTCTGTAGGGGGCGATGTGGAGCCACACAGCGCCTCCAGGAGCCTTGAGAGGGAGCCTGTGGTGGGGCTGCCCAGTGCATCTAGAGGGGATGCTCTTTCCTCCATGCTTTATAATGAAGCAGATAACTGCCCCGGTGTGTCATCCCCTCAGCACTCCTGGGGCTGGATGGGGTGAGCAGTCCCTGCACATGGAGAATGCTCCCTGCACAGCCTACGCCTCCTGTGCACATATCCAAGGGCGGCTTCCATTCTGGCCTACATGGCTAGTCACATGGAGGCTGGCGCTTCGGATCCATTGTTTGCACAGTTTTTCATTGAAAAACAAATCCTGCCATCCCCTACACCGGAGGTGGGGAACCTTTTTCCTATCCTGGGCCATTGACCCTCAGGAAAATTCATGGGCCACATACATTTAACTCACCCGTCCTGGTGCTGGTGGAGGTGCCGAGACTCAGGGTTTCCCCCTACAGTGAGGTGAGCTGGCACTCGCAGCTCAAGCCCTGCAGGCGGCTGCCAAGTAGAGTGACCAGATGTTCCGATAAAATCGGGACTGTCCCGATATCGAGCAGTTTGTCCCACATGCCGACTGAAGTACGGTCGGGACGCCATTTGTCCCGATATTTTGTTTCGGGCATGGCTTCCCCCCCATTTCTTTTTGCTTAGGCTTTGCTTAGGAAAATATTGGGACTGCTGCAAGGGGGGAGCGCCTTTTCAATTGTTGCACTCACCCGTCCGGGTCTTCAGCGGCACTTCGGCAGCAGGTCCTTCAGTCACTGACGGTCTTCAGCAGCATTTTGGCGGTGGGTACTTCTTTCTTTGGCAGCAAATTTTATTACCCACCGCCAAAGACCATCAGCGACTGAAGGACCCTCTGCCGGAGTGCCGCCGAAGACCCGGATGGGTGAGTGTAACAATTGAAAAGGCGCTCCCCCTGTGGCGGTCCCGATATTTTCCAGTTATCATCTGGTCACCCTACTTCCAAGACTCAGGGCTTCCCGCCCATGGCTCTGCTGCTCTAGGACAGGAGAAACTCGGGATACATAGCCCCATGCACTGTGGAGGGAAAAATGCTGCAGGAACTCTGTGTGTTAGTGGCTCTAGAGAGAGCCAGCATGGATCCACCAGTCATTGCCCACCATGTAGTGGGGATACTAAGACCACAGACTTTGCACTAACCCAGAGGCTGGTCTAGACACCACAAAGCTTATTTGCTGCCACTCTATGGCCTGAGAGGAGGAGAGCTCTCTGACATCCCCTCAGTGAGTTTCTCAGTGCTCTGAAGGAAGAGACTTAGAGCTGTGGTGGCTGAGTGGAGGCTTTTGGAACCATTCTGCCTCTGAGGACAAACTCTTGAGCGAAGCTCTCGACTCATCAGTTCCCTAGGGCTGGTTTTGAAAAGAGCAATGTGTGCACTGGAAGAAGGGACACGTGGGTCAAAAGGGTGTGTGCGAAAGAGAATTAGAGAGAGAGGGAATGCCAAGTGTAGCCGAATGGCACAAAAACGTGTCCTTTGAAAATCCCAGCTCTCTGTGTGCAGCCAAATTTCCTGCACCCCCCCAACCTGAGGCAGCTGCATTGTTCTCCTCATGTCCTGACAAATGACTTCAGATTAGTCCCCTGCTTACAAAGCAACTGTAACGGTAGCTAGATGTAGAAATTTAGGGCCTGATCCAAAGCCCACTGAAGTCTGTGGGGGTCTCCACTGACTTCAGTAGGATTTGCCTCAGGCCTGTAAATCAAAACGATGTGGAGAGACTCGGATAAGATTGCCAATAAATCTAAATTCCCGCTGGCAAACGTTTAATTTGTAACAACCAAATAGTTACGCTGTGGAATGCTGGTGGGGATTTTGGGGTGGTTTTTTTTTTTTTGTAATTCGTTGCCTTCCTGTGCACAAGGAGTACTGAGCGGCTCTCTGCTGCCCAGAATTCAAGGCCTGAGTGATTAAGCTTTGGGTCCAATCTTGCCCTCTCATAATAATGCCTATTTCTTATTCAGCCCTTTCCATCCGTAGATCTCAAAGCACTTTGCAATCTTTTATCTGTTTGTCCTCACAACACCCCGTGTGGTAGGGGAGCATTGTTCTCATCCCTGTTTTACAGCTGGGAGAGTGAGGCATGGAGAGGCTAAGTGACTTACCCAAGATCACACAGGAAGTCCATGGCAGAGCAGGGAATTGAATCTGGGTCTCCCACATCCTGCACAGTGCCTTAACCATTGGGCCACCCTTCCCTCCTTCTACAGGACTGAAGAAGGCAGGTTCTTCTCTCTCATGTAGGGAGCCTGAGAGCAGCTGGGCAGGATTCTCTAGTGCTAAGGGTGAGGGACAATTGTGGGGGGAGGGTAAATATTTCAAAAAAATTGATTTATGCCCCGCACCTTGTTATGCTTATAAGAAGCACACGGAAGTTTTTTAAAGGGGATACGGCAATACATCGCGTTTATTGAGAGTATAATTTAAGTATTGAAATTAGCATATGTTTTTATTTACATACATGCATACATACATATACTAAAAGATTTTGCAGATGGATTTTATACACCTCTACCCTGATATAACGCTGTCCTCAGGAGCCAAAAAATCTTACCGCATTATAGGTGAAATCACGTTATATCGAACTTGCTTTGATCCGCCGGAGTGCACAGACCCCCACCCACCCCACCGGAGCACTGCTTTACCACATTATATCCGAATTCGTGTTATATCAGGTCGCGTTATATTGGGATAGAGGTGTAGTTACCAGTTTTTAGTGTTGCTTGGTCAGTTTCAGTGGCCAGCTGAAACTGCACAGAAGGGAGGGGAGCTGGGCCTTTGTTGAACGTGTCTGAAGCTTTGATGTTGATGCAGAATGAATGCAAAGTTTTATGGCAATACTTTTTTTTATAGTAATAAAGTTTTTAGACAAGTTTTTGGATTTTGCTGTGTTACACTGGAGCTGTTAATTACGGGGTAGTTAAGGTTGCTTTTAATTCGTATTATTTGCATTGTTATTGGGAGTATATGCAGCTGTTTGTTTTTAATTACTTGTTTAGCTTTTAAAATGACATCTTCATTAACTTAGATAATAAACTTCACATGAGGGAGGGGAACTGGGCCTATTTTTTTTTATTATTATTTGCCGATAATAGTTTAGATGCACAGAAAAATTAGGAACACAAACAGTAGTCAAAGACTCTATCATCCCCTTCTGAACGCTCAGTATTACCTGCCAGCTCCCCCAGAGACCCAAGGGGGTCTCAAAACATCCCATCAGCATCTAGAAGAATAGATCCCAGATGAGTGCTGCTAAAATGGTGCGGGATTTCCTAAACCCATGTTTGATGACACCTATAAGCGATCACAATTTTTTGTTTTCCCTACCTCGTACAGCTTTAATGGCATAGGTAGGATAGTATACGCTTAGAAACCCTGGCAATAGGTGCCCCATAAAGCCTTCAGAGGATGGGTGGATGCATGGATGGACAGACAGATTAGTTAGAAAGCAAGGGACCTGCCATCTTCATTTTTGTCAGTAATTTTTGGGTGAGATAAGACTATATTTCTAAGCTGGAAGGAAGTCAGTTCAGTGGTTACCAGTTTCCACATTTCTGCAGAAGTTTCTAACTTATGCATTAGACCAATTTCTGATGTGGCGTTTACCATAAATGGAACAAAATGTAGAATGTTTCCAAAACCTCGAACTTGGGGTCTCCTGGTTTATGGAGATGCTTTCTAACCTGATCTATCTAAATTCTATTAAGCAAAATTGGTATATTGTGTAATAATTTATGTATAAGTAAATGTGTTTAACGTTGTTCTACACTGATGGGCAGTGAAAACTGGAAAGACTCTGACAGAGTAACTGAAACACAGAGTTGCAATAGAAGTCATGAACCAGCACTGAGGGAGGTTTTTGTACTGGCCTGAATCACTGTGTGAGAGGCCAGTCATAGTCCTGTTGACAATAATAACTGCCAGCGTCATCAGCTTGAAAACTAGTGATTGTCAAAGTGAAATCAGTGCCAGACCCACTGCCACTGAACCGGTCTGGGATCCCGGATGGACGGGAGGAAGAACCATAGAACAGGAGCTTAGGAGCTTGTCCTGATTTCTGTTGGTACCAGGCTATATCACTACCAATGCTGGTACTGGCTTTGCAGTTGATGGTGACTCTGTCTCCTGGAGACACTGCCAGGGATTCTGGAGTCTGAGTCATCACAATGTCTCCACTGGCATCTGTGTGTGAAATCAAAACATAAATCCAGGTGTGTCTATAGTAGTACCTCATAGTGTAAGGATTTACATTGCCATAGCATTGTTATTAACCAAGATTTTATTTAACATGAAATCCTTTCAGTTCTGTTCTTTATGTAGATAAAGCATATGGAGCATATATACAAGAATTGGCATCTATTTGGCAAATCATTCCTCACTTTTGTTTTGATGATACTCGAGTCCATAGCTTATTCTCTATTTTTCTAAAATTCTAATCTAATGCACTTACCCTTCACAAAGAAAACTAGCACGGAGATGAGCAGAGTGCGTGACCTCATCTTGAGAGCTCTGGACTGACAGCTGCTGCTCAATGCACCATGATCTGTGACATAGAGCCGTTATAACTCCTCTGAGCTACAGGGAAATGCCACTCATGCATGGATATGCAAAATAAACATAGCTATGCAAACGTCCTCACCATGTGTCCTGGGGTAGCTGGATTTGGGTGCCTGAAAGCACTGATATCTGTGCTATTACATTTGCAATGAGGGCAGATTCTGATTTACTTGTCCTGAACAGGGCCCTACTCCTGAAACAGTCCTATTTGAAATTGTTGGGACTGTTCTAAAAGTAATACTCAACGTGAGCCAGGCTGTCAGAATCTGGCCCTAATTGAAGTCTCTTTTCACGCTCCATAGTGGGGATGTGGAGACACTTCTCACTGAATGTAAAAGGAAACACGCTTAAAAAGATTCTTTCAGGAAAGTGACATTTACAGTTAACAAATCAGTTTGAATAAACGAGTCTCATTTTCTCCTCCCTGAGCCATCTGCATGGATCCTTCTGTACACCGTGGTAAGGTCGACGTGAATTCTGAGCCAGATCCCTGGATTCCATGGCACTCTAGTGGAAATGCTGTGGCTAGTGAAATAAGAGATGTTCAGTGTTTTAAAAATAAAAGTGAATAATACGATCAGGACAGTAGTCCCTGGAATAGTTCCTTGGGGCAGGAACTTGGCTATAAAGTTCTATATAAATAACATAATAATAGGCCAAATCATACAAAAACAACAAGGAGTCTGGTGGCACCTTAAAGACTAACATTTATTTGGGCATAAGCTTTCATGAGTAAAAACCTCACTTCTTCGGATACAGACTAACACGGCTACCCCCTGATACTTGAGGCCAAATCATGAGTTAGTTTTGGAGAATGGGAGTTTGCCTGAATGAGAACTGAGTAAAAGCTAGAATAATGAATAATGTAAACTGTGAGTCACGTCTAAAAGCAGCACATTGGGTTGGCTGTAATTTGAGGTGTTATCTCATCAGTTGCATGTGAGATTCCAGGTGTGTACTGGGTGTTCATGGAAATGTTTGCAAATCCTGAACATTTCATAGATTTTTAGCATGAAAATTGGCTCTTGAAAGAGCCTTATTCCTCAGGGGCTGATCATCACTTGTCATTCACTAATCTCCTGTTCGAAGGATACAGCATCTAACATGCTGAGCTCTGTTGAACACTTACTTTGTGCCTAAATGGGAGATGATTTCTTTGGAAAAAACTGGCTCATATTTCTTAATCACTATCATTATTTGTATTGCTGTCGTGCCTCCTAGGGGCTCGAGTCATGGATCAAGGTGTTGCACAACCATTACTTTTCCCATTCCTCCCCGTGCAATTTCTGTTGTAAAAGGATTACTCTGCCTCTATCAATAGCCTTTGCTTAAAAGAGCCATGTGGAGTTAGGTTTTCTCTTTGCCCTCTGTGTCCAGACTAGAAATGACAGTGGGAGTTGTGGCAGAGAGTTCTGTAATTAACTTCCTGTTTCTTGTTTGTTCTGAAATCTGTGAAGCTGATTGTCACAGCTGCACGTGCAACAACACTCAGGACTGTGCCGTGGCTCAGGGAGGTTTTTGTAGTGGTCTGTATCATGTTGAGAGGGGTGTAGCCTTGATGACAGTAATGATCTGAGAGTGAAATCAGTCCCAAACCCCCTGCCCCTGAACCAGGCTAGGACCCCAAATTGCAGGGTAGTAGCATAGTAGATAAGGAGGTTAAAAGCTTCTCCTGATTTCTGTTGGTAATAATCTAAGATGTTGCTGATACTTTCACTGGCTCTGCATTTGATAGTGACTGTGTTTCCTGGAGACACCGATAGAGATCCTTGAGTCTACGTCAGCACTTTCTGCCCAGTGGAGTCTAGATGTAAAAAGAACATGCAGGAACTCGTGATAAATTGATCAGTTATATCCTTATATTGAATATATTTTTAATTGTATATATTATTAAATAGCAATAAATAAAGTAAAATCATATTATCTGTTACAACAAATAGATTATATTTGCATTGTCTCTGCTGCTGTTTTTCATTCAAGCTGGGCCTCTTGTGTTTTCTTACCCTGAATCCAAAAAACTAGTATCTAGAAAAGCTGAGTGCAGAAGATCATTGTGGCAGTTCTCAGCAGGCAATGGAGTAGCAAAATGGTCCAGGGACACCATATGGGCTGCAACTAGATATAAGTAGTGAAATCATCCACACATTTTCTAGAAGGTTTTTAGCAGCCTGGCCTGTCATCATTTTATCTTTTAGTTTTTCTCCTTCCCCATGTAAATATAATTGAATAACACAGTATTTCCTTATGCAGGAGATAACTTGGCAGATGGCCTTTAGTTACCTTTGAAAGTTATGGCTATGCTTTCTAACAGAGTCAAAATACAGCCAACTAAATAACACTATCTACAGCTCTGCAAGGGAGCCCTGGTAACAATGACACTGCTCCATGTGACAGCTGGGTCACACCATGTTCCTGGCGGCCATACTCAGCCCCAAGTGCTGAGGTGTGTTTCAGAACCTCACTTCCTACCCTGTGTCTTTTGTTCAAAGGGATTTGAGCAGGAACCAGAGAGGGGGAGAGATTTTGAGTAACTGAGAGTCCACAGAGAATGTTCCTGGTGTGTCTTTTGGGCTGGAGAGATGCTAGAAAAGCTGCTCAGCAGAGGCTGTTTATGGCATTTTAAACAGTTTTTATGTTGAATTTTAATATTGATCATTTAACTACATGGCTTAACCCTGACCATTGCAGCCCTTTTCTGCTCCAAAAGCTTGGTTAATGGAGCAATAGATGAAATGTTGTTCATATGCAATAATGCCTGGTGCACATCATGGGGTGTGTGTGTGTGTGTGTATAAGTTAAACATATTATCCAGGTTACTTTTATTTTAAAGTAGCTTTTATTGTAAAGTGCAATAGAAACCCACTGTTGTAATTTTATTTTTTATTTATTCTCTAGATCTAAGAAAACATATTTTTTTCTTAGCAGAATGTTTTCTGCTTTACTCTTTATGCTCTTTGCTTCCTAAGCAACACGACCTTTCCTTACTGCCTATCCTGAATGGTCAGATACTATCATTATGGTGCTTACTAGGACAGTGGCCAGCCAGTCTGAGCATCAGGAGAGGAAGCTCACAAGAGGCCCAGGTGAAGCAACTAAAATGCCTCATTGTAGTTTCTGATTTATTTGCAGGGTTTGTATTCAGCTATAAACTCCAAACCAGCCATCACACTACCCCCATTCTTTCCTGCAGCTTAGTAACCTAGAAACTGCAGCCCAGCAGTACGAACCCACGCAAAATAACACACACCCGAGACTTCTCTGTTGTCATTATTCCCTGCTCTGGCTGATCAGAAATCCTCTCTCTGCTTCCCATGAGAATAGCTAACTCCAGTTTGAAGGGCTTGACAAAGGTAGACTGGCTAAACCTTGATTACCTTTCCTTGGCGAGGCCCTACAGGCAGGGGCCGGCTCTAACTTTTTTGCCACCCCAGACAAAAAAAAAGAGCGACGCCCCGCTGTAACCTCCCCCCCAGCGCCGCCAAAACCTCTGCCCCGCCCAGCGCTGCGCCGCCGAAACTCCCACCCCCCCGCCT